AGGTTTGATTGGTGTACCTGAAAGTGACAGGGAGAATGGAAAAAAGTTGGAAAACACTCTTCAGGATATTATCCAGGAGAACTTTCCCAACCTAGCAAGACAGACCAATATTCAAATTGAGGAAATACAGAAAAGACCACTAAGATACTCCTTGAAAAGAGCAACCACAAGACACATAATCATCGCCAAGATTCACCAATGAAGGAAATGAAGGAAAAATTGTTAAGGGCAGCTGGAGAAAAAGGTTAGATTACCCACAAAGGGAAGCACATCAGACTAAAAGTGGATCTCTCTGCAGAAACCCTACAAGCCAGAAGAGAGTGGGGACTAATATTTGACATTCTTAAAGAAAATAATTTTCAACCCAAAATTTCATATTCAGCCAAACTAAGCTTCGTAAGCGAAGGAGAAATAAAATTCTTTGTAGACAAGCAAATGCTGAGAGATTTTGTCACCACCAAGCCTGCCTTAGAAGAACTCCTGTAAGAAGTACTAAATATGGAAAGGAAAAACTAGTACCAGCCACTGCAAAAACACACAAAATTGTAAAGACAATTGACAATATGAAGAACTAATGACCATAAAAACCAGCTAGCATCATAACAACAGGATCAAAATCACACAAAACAGTATTAACCGTAAATGTAAACAGGCTAAATGCACCAATTAAAAGCCACAGACTGGCAAATTGGATAAAGAGTAAAGACCCTTTGGTGTGCTGTATTGAGGAGACCCACCTCACATGCAAACACAGGCATAGGCCCAAAAAAAATGGACGGAAGAATATTTACCAAGCAAATGGAAAGCAAAAAATAAAATAATATAAAAAATAGAAAGAAGCAGGGGTTGCAATGCTAGTCTCTGATAAAACAGACTTTAAACCAACAAAGATAAAAAAAGACAAAGGACATGACATAGTAAAGGGATCAATGCAACAAAACAAGCTAAGTATCCTAAATATATAAGCACCCAATATAGGAGTACCCAGATTCATAATGGAAGTTTTTAGAGACCTACAAAGAGACTTTTACTCCAACACAATAACAGTGGGAGACTTCAACACCCCACTGTCAGTATTAGACAGATCAACGAGACAGAAAATTAACAAGGACACTGAAACCTTGATCTCGGTTCTGGACCAAACAGACCTAATAGACATCTACAGAAGCCTCTACCCCAAATCAACAGAATATACATTTTCTCAGCACCACATTGTGCTTATTCTAAAACTGACTACATAATTGTAAGTAAAACACTCCTCAGCAAATGCAAAAGAATGAAAATCATAACAAATAGTCTCTCAGACCACAGCGCAATTAAATTAGAACTCAGGATTAAGAAACTCACCCAAAACTGCACAACTACATGGAAACTGAACAATCTGCTCCTGAATGACTACAGTGTAAATAATGAAATTAAGGCAGAAGAAATACATAATTTTTTTGAAACCAATGAGAACAAAGACACAATGTACCAGAATCTCTGGGACACAGCTGAAGCACTGTTTGCAGGGAAATTTGTAGCACTAAATGCCCACAGAGGAAAGCGGGAAAGATCTAAAATCAACACCCTATCATCACAATTAAAAGAACTAGAGAAACAAGAGCAAACAAATTCAAAAGCTAGAAGAAGACAAGAAATAACTAATATCAGAACAGAACTGAAGAAGATAGAGACACGAAAAGACCTTAAAAAAATTAATGAACACAGTAGCTGGTTTTTTGAAAAGATTAACAAAATAGATAGATCCCTAGCCAGAGTAATGAAGAAAAGAGAGAAGAATCAAATAGACACAATAAAAAATGACAAAGGAGATATCATCACTGATCCCATAGGAATACAAACTACCATCAGAGAATACTATAAACACCTTTATGTAAATAAACTAGAAAATCTAGAAAAAATGGATAAATTCCTGGACACATATGCCCTCTCAAGACTAAACCAGGAATAAATCGAATCACTGAATAGAACAATAACAAGCTCTGAAAGTGAGGCAGTAATTAATACCCTACCAACCAAAAGAGCCCAGGACCAGAAGCAGTCACAGCCAAATTCTACCAGAGGTACAATGAGGAGCTGGTACCATTCCTTCTGAAACTATTTCAAACAATAGAAAAAGAGGGACTCTTCCTGAACTCATTTTATGAGGTCAGCACCATCCTCATAACAAAACCTGGCAGAGACACAACAAAAAGACAAGAAAATTTCAGGCCAATATCCCTGATGAACATTGATGCAAAAATCCTTAATAAAATACTGCCAAACCGAATCCAGCAGCACATCAAAAAGTTCATCCACAATCAAGTTGGCTACATCCCTGAGATAGAAGGCTGGTTCAACATATGCAAATCAATAAACGTAATCCATCACATAAACAGAACCAATGACAAAAAACACATGATTATCTCAATAGTTGCAGAAAAGACCTTTGATAAAATTCAACAGCCCTTCACGCTAAAAACTCTCAATAAACTAGGTATTGATGGAACATATCTCAAAAAAATAAGAGCTATTTGTACAAACCCACAGCTAATATACTGAATGGGTCAAAGCTGGAAGCATTCTCTTTAAAAACTGGCACAAGACAAGGATGCCCTCTCTCATCACTCCTACTCAAAATAATATTGGAAGTTCTGGTTAGAGCAATCAGGCCAGAGAAAGAAATAAAGGTATTCAAACAGGAAGAGAGGAAGTCAGATTGTCTCTGTTTGCAGCTGACACGATTGTATATTTAGAATAACCCATCGTCTCAGTCCAAAGTTTCCTTAAGCAAATAAACAACTTCAGCAAAGTCTCAGGATACAAAATCAATGTGCAAAAATCACAATCATTCCTAGACACCAATAATAGACAAACAGAGAGACAAATCATGAGTGAACTCCCATTCACAACTGCTACAAAGAGAATAAAATACCTAGGAATCCTATTTACAAGGGATGTGAAAGACCTCTTCAAGGAGAACTACAAACCACTGCTCAAGGATATAAGAGAGGACACAAACAAATGGAAAAACATTCCATGCTCATGGATAGGAAGAATCGATATCATGTAAATGGCCATACACCCAAAGTAATTTATAGATTCAATGCTATTTCCATCAAGCTACCACTGACTTTCTTCACAGAATTGGAAAAAACTACTTTAAGTTTCATATGGAACCCAAAAGGAGCACGCATAGCTCAGCCAATTCTAAGCAAAAAGAACAAAGCTGGAGGCATCACGCTACCTGACTTTAAAATATACTACATGGCTACAGGAACCAAAATAGCATGGTACTGGTACCAAATAGACCAATGGAACAGGACAGAGGCCTCAGAAATAACGCCACCCATCTACAACCATCTGATCTTTGACAAACCTGACAAAAACTAGCAATGGGGGAAGCATTCCCTATTTAATAAATGGTGTTAGAAAAACTGGCTAGCCATATGCAGAAAACTGAAACTGGACCCCTTCCTTACACCTTATACAAAAATTAACTCAAGATGAATTAAGGACTTAGACATAAGACCTAAAACCATAAAAACCTTAGAAGAAAACCTAGGCAATATCATTCAGGACATAGGCATGGGCAAAGACTTCATGACTAAAGCACCAAAAGCAATGGCAATAAAAGCCTAAATTGACAATTGGGATCTCATAAAACTAAAGAGCTTCTGCATAGCAAAAGAAACTATCTTCAGAGTGAACAGGCAACCTACAAAATGGGAGAAAAATTTTGCAATCTATCCACCTGACAAAGGGCTAATATCCAGAATCTACAAAGAATTTAAACAAATTTACAAGAAAAAAAAATAACCCCATTAAAAAGTGGGTGAAGAATATGAACAGACACTTCTCAAAAGAAGACATTTATGCATCCAACAAACATAGGAAGAAAAGCTCATCATCACTGGTCATTAGAGAAATGCAAATCAAAACCATGATGAGGTACCAACTCATGCCAGTTAGAATGGCGATCATTAAAAAGTCAGGAAACAGTAGATGCTGGAGAGGATGTGGAGAAATAGGAACGCTTTTACACTGTTGGTGGGAGTATAAATTAGGTCAACCATTGTGGAAGACTGTGTGGCGATTCCTTCAGGATCTAGAACCAGAAATACCATTTGACCCAGCAATCCCATTACTGGGTATATACCCAAAGGATTATAAATCATTCTACTATAATTCTGTACATACACACCTATGTTTATTACAGCACTGTTCACAATAGCAAAGACTTGGAACCAACCCAAATGGCCATCAATGACAGACTGGATAAAGAAAATGTCACACATATACACCATGGAACACTATGCAGCCATGAAAAAGGATGAGTTCATGTCCTTTGCAGGGACATGGATGAATCTAGAAAGATCATTCTCAGTAGACTAACAGGAACAGAAAATCAAACACCACACATTCTCACTCATAACTGGGAGTTGAACAATGAGAACACATGGACACAGGGAGGGGAACATCACACACCGGGACCTGTCGGGGCATGGGGGGCTAGGGGAGGGATAGCATTAGGAGAAATACCAAGTGTAGATGACAGGTTGATAGGTGCAGGAAACCACTATGGCACATGTATACCTATGTAAGAAACCTGCACATTCTGCACATGTATCCCAGAACTTAAAATATAATTTTAAAAAATTATGAGCTTAATGGTACAGTCTTATCTATTTTGTTTAAGGGAAGTATCAAGTCAGAGTTTAGAATGAATTATTTCTTTTAACTGCACAGTGTGATTCGTGAAGGTCAGAGTTGAGGTTCAGTGCAGTCAGGCTGGAAAGGTAGCTCCTAGCACTAAAAAGAGTGTGTGAATAAATAAAAGACGTGTACTATTTCCTAAGTTTACTTAATATTCACATTAAATGAAAATTATGAGCCTGAATGTGTCCTTGTGGGAGCCTGGAATGAATATGAGTCAAAGATCACATGGAATTAATATATTATAAAATGGTATACAAAATAGGTTTAATTAATCTTCCTCAATCATTCTTATTTTTCAGATCTTCAGGAATTTTACTGGGATAATTGTCCAAATAAATTGCAAGCATTCTATCCAAATGGTAAGCAGAACATCTTATTATGTAACCATATTTGTTTATCCATAATTAGTATAACTTTCTGAGTATTGAAATGAGAAACTTGATTTACTCTTCTTCACTCATGTTTTAAATTTTATAAGAAAAACTCGAATCACTAAATAATTTTTTTATTTTATTTAAAAATTATAATTCTGAGATGTAAATATATGGCATGTTAGCCTGCGAATTATTTAATCACTTTACTCGAAAATCTGGTAAAAGGCCAAATTTCTGAAAATAGACTACTGGAAAACATTTTGTAAACAATATAGAGGGAGAATTGTATATCAGAATATACACATAAAACTGTCTTTTCAGATAATTATGTATCATTTATTTTCTTATAGTGAAATTATAAAAATACAACCTATAGCCTTCCATAGATACATAATTAACTGTGTTTTGAAATGATATCCAATTCAGTACCTTCATACATTTGAAACTTTGATAAGCTAGTCTATCTTCACTTTGGGGATCATCTTCATTAAGAGTTTGTTTTCTCGAGTTTTGAGGTAGGATACTTGAAGTCATTCTTCTTCTTTATAATTATGTGGCAAGAACTATCTCCCTCAAAACTTTATGCTTAAGTTTGTGACAGTCACACTGTCAGTCAGATGGTGCAAAGTCTTTTAATGCTGTTGAACATAAGGGAGTTGTCTAAAATACAGATAGTTCTCCATCTGAGCTCATAACCCAAGCAATGTGCTTCAAAATTGCATTTATTATATTTTTTCTTATTACAAATGATATTATGTTCATAATGGATAGATAAATTAGATGCCCATAAATATAAATAAAAAAATATTCTCACCACCTAATGCAACCTGTTAACCTTTTGTATAAACTGGTGAATGTTTTCAGTATATGAACACACAACCTACTGTAAAAATTCAAGAAACGAGTGTAATGATGATGTGAAATGCAGATTCGCCTCCCTTGACCCCACTTCCTCTGCAGCTTGGGTATAAATGCCTGCTCCAACACCTGTTCTCTGTGTGAACTTGATCAAATCCTTTACTCCCTCTAGGCTTTCCTTTCTCATCTGCAAAATGGAGCTAATAATACATACCTAGCTGATGGGGTTGTCTTGAGGATGAAATATGTTGATACAAGTTAGGTGTATAGAGCAGTGCCTAGCTCGTAAGTGAGATATTACAAAATTATCTATTGTATTTGAATTATTTTTTGGAATTCTTAAGATGTGCATATTTTGTATACTTATATCTCATTTAGCTTTCTACTAAAGGTAATTATTCTTCAGTTAGTTATTTTGTGGTTCCAGATAGAAAATCATATTTTCTAAAAATAATAACAATTTTAGATACTTTTATTTTTTTTCCTTTTTAGCATCATACTTTTATCAATTTTGAGTTCACTACTTATTGCCTTGGCTATGTCTTTCAGTGTAACATGAAATAACTGAATAATTCTTTATTCTTTCTGATTTTATTAGGAATGACTTTCATGATTGTAATTTGAGTACTGTGTTGACTATTTGTGTAAGTTTTATTCTTTTTCTTAAGACGTAATTCTATTCTTAACTATATTTGATTATCAGAAGTTTCTGTTGATGTTCTATAAATCTCAATAACATATAAATTAATGTTTTAATATCTCTTGAGAAGATGATTTGGTTCTCCTCTCTCGGTCAGCAGATTTGCTAATATTATGTTCCTCTTGCATAGCTGGAAGCTTACTTTTATTACGTACCTTAGCTCAATTCCTTTTTGTTTACTTGAGAATTTTAAAGAATATTCCAAAGTAAGAATGATATATGTCATGCCCGTCCGTGTGAAGAGACCACCAAACAGGCTTTGTGTGAGCAACATGGCTGTTTATTTCACCTGGGTGCAGGCGGGCTGAGTCCGAAAAGAGAGTCAGTAAAGGGAGATAAGGGTGGGGCCGTTATATAGGATTTGGGTAGGTAAAGGAAAATTACAGTCAAAGGGGCTTGTTCTCTGGTGGGCAGGAGTGGAGGTCACAAGGTGCTCAGTGGGGAAGCTTTTTGAGCCAGGATGAGCCAGGAAAAGGAATTTCACAGGATAATATCATCACTTCAGGCAAGGACCGGCCATTTTCACTTCTTTTGTGGTGGAATGTCATTGGTTAAGGCAGGGCAGGGCATTTGCACTTCTTTTGTGATTCTTCAGTTACTTCAGGCCATCTGGGCGTATACGTGCAAGTCACAGGGGATGCGATGGCTTGGCTTGGGCTCAGAGGCCTGACAATATATACTATTTTTTATTGCTTGATATCTATGTGGTACTATTAAGGATGTTATATTCACGTTGAACTTTACAACATTTTCTGTGGAGTATGCTGAGACCAGCACGGTCAGGGAGACCCTAACCCAGCGGCGCTGGTGGAATTAAAGACACACACACAGAAATATAGAGGTGTGAAGTGGGAAATCAGGGGTCTCACAGCCTTCAGAGCTGAGAGCCCCAAACAGAGATTTACCCACATATTTATTAACAGCAAACCAGTCATCAGCATTGTTTCTATAGATACTAAATTAACTAAAAGTATCCCTTATGAGAAATGAAGGGATGGGCCGAATTAAAGGAATAGGTTGGGCTAGTTAACTGCAGCAGGAACACACCCTTAAAGACACAGATCGCTCATGCTAATTGTTTGTGGCTTAAGAATGCCTTTAAGCAGTTTTCTGCCCTGGACGGGCCAGGTGTTCCTTGCCCTCATTCCCGTAAACCCACAACCTTCCAGGTATGATCAGCCATCACAGCTGTCCAAAACCTAAGTCTATTTCTCATACCATTTTTAAAATTCTGAGATTTATTTCTATGAAAATATTTCTAAGTGTACCAGGTTGTATACACTGGGGTTTGACTATGATTGATTTTTAAAATACTTTTGAAATATTTGAAAACAACACGTAATCCTTGTCATGGACTTATTTGGATGTAGTTCTATCAATTTAGCACAAATCATCATAATATTCAAATTTCATGTTCTTATATTCTATTTGCTGGACAGAGATGAGGCTAGTTTGTGCAAATTCTTAAAATGCCCAAGTGATCCATTTGGATTTATACACTAGGCATAAAACTATTGAATATAAGCTGGTGAGTTATATGAGTAGACCCTACATAGGAAGATGAATCTTTGAGGGTGTGAAAGATCAACTACAGTGGGGTAAGACTAAGGCCAAATATAAGATTTAAGGATCTGTTTAGTTCGGCATTTCTACTTTTGGAAATCTGACGTTTAGAAATATCTTCCAGTCTTTGAAGGAAGTGTTTAGTGTTGTTATTCTTTCCCAAGGCAATTCCCACCATCTTCTACTTTTCTGTCATCCAGTCCATTTCCTCCATCAGCTTTCCTTCTCAGTCCTTTTGTGACCTTCTGTGACGTTAACTTCTTAAAAGTAAAATATAATGACTTTCTTGTCTCATGAATTTTATCCCCCACTTTTATTTTTAGAAACTTTGATATAGCTTGTAAAAGCCAAGACAAATTTCTACCAGAATTAGAGATATAGCATTCATCCCGCCAGCCATCAAACATTTTTGAAAACCAACTATCTGCTAGGCACCATGCTAAGAGGTAGAAAAAGCTCTCTCCCTACAAGAGATAGGACCTTTAACCTCCATACGAAAGAGCTCTTAATCTTTTGCTTGAATTCTCCAAAGTTCAGCATCTCCAGCTGACATTGATACATTTTTCATTCAATGACCTGAAGACAACCAAAACTTTAATGAGCTCAGTCTTTATCCTAACCTACCTCTCCTACTATTTCCTATCCTGGGTGATGGCTGATACTAATCTATGCTAGAAACTTAATAAGCTGTCAATATGTAATCTTTATTTAATTAATATTTTATGCTATATCTTTACTCTGTCCTATCTTTAACCAAACTTCATAAAAGTCCTATTGATTACATCTTTACATTTAGCCCAAACTTCTCTTTACGTTTGTATTTATTATCTCAGTTTTAGAACCACAACATAAGCTTTTTGATTTTTTATAAAACCCTTCTCACTTTTACATCCCTACCCCTTTTGTCCATCAACTACATTCCTATCAGAGTTATTCCTAAAATTTGCATATGATCATGACAGTCACCCATTGCTTTTGATTTTGATTTTGCTTTGCTTAGAGGAAAAAACCCAAATCCTCATGATACATTCGGTTTTCTTCACAGCCCAGTACCAAGTTTATTTCTTCTCAATTTATTCCCCTTCTCCATCTACATCATCTTCATTCCCCTGAATTTAATCACATCTAATTAATGTGCATTACGGCTTCTTCATACTTAGATTATGTTCTGACACATAGTGGGTATTCAATCAATGTTTTCTGGTCATTATTTTGAAAAGACAAAGGGCTAGACTAAGCAGGAGCATATGATCAATCACCTGAGTGGGTCAGACTGAGGAGAAGACATTGTTTACTTGATAACTTATTGGCACTCTTGAAGTTTTGTATTAGAATACCATGGAAACGGAATTCATAAATACAACTTAGAAATGACCTAGTCTAAGCTATGTTTCCTGAATGTTGAGACCTGAAGTATCAGGGACTTGTTTAGAATAATAGTTGTAGCTGTTTAATACTATGAGATTTACTACACCCGAATCTGCGCCAACTTAGGTCAACAATGGTTTGTGTCCTGAGTAGGAATTTAAAAGACATGATGAACTGTAACTATTATTGATAGAAGCAGATTATTCTGACTTGATTCCAAACTGATTGCATACATGTAATTTACCTCTAAGGGTGTGTAATTATGATTTTTCCTGAGGTATCTATATTGAAGTATTTATGAGGATGCAATTTTCACGGTTTTTTAAAAAAAGCATGTAATTGGATATTTGATTTGTAACCTCCAAAATTAAGGTTAGAAATAGAGTCATGAGTGCTTCATGGAAGACTTCAGATGGAGAGAGAGTGAACGAATTTAGTAGCTGCTTCATACAACTTGGCTCAAATAGAGATTGTAGTCTTTCTCCTAGTCTTTATC